GGGGAAAACGGACTCCGTTTGGGCGAGTGGTGACCGCCAACAGACAGGAAAAGAGGGGAAAATTAAGAAGAATTAGTGATTTTCATTGTATTTTTATAAAAATAAAAGGGAAACAGAAGTCGGCAAAAGTGATCCGTTGGAACCCGGCTTTTAACTGATTACAAACCGACGAAAAATTTTCTGCCTCGAGAAGTCGGACGTGGTGGCGTGTGGTCGCGCGTAAAACCCCAAAACCCTAATTGGGGGAAACCCTAATTAGGGTAAACCCTAACCCTAAGTTAGGGAAGGGCGGTGCGTGGCCGGGCGGATACAAGTCTTTTTATTCGACCGCTGATGGGAAAATTTTGTATAAATCCAGTTGACCAGATTGAAATTAATTGAAATTGGGAATTTTGTTTTAATTAAATAATTTAAGTTGTAAATCTGTTTTAAGTAAAAATTTGTCATTAAAAATCGATTAAAATCAAAATAAATATCAAAAATTCTTCTAGAAAGGGGGGTCGACTTTATTTCGACTTTGTGATTCGGGAGATACTTCGCTTAACCCCATCCCAACGGGGGGAAAGCCAAATGCTGCCGAAACTTCGCAAATTTCCTAATTTAAATTATTAATTTATATATATATATATGTATATATATATATATATACATTGAAAGCCATTAGGGAAATTAATTAAAAATACGTTAGAAATTTGTTTCTTTCAGCGACCTTCCTCTTGTTTCATTTGGCTTTAGTACTGGGTAGGTGGCATTTGTCTAGGGACAGTAGTCCCGAACTCCATCCGAACGGGGGGAGGCGAAACGCTGCCGAAATTTTAGTAAATTCCCCGGATTTTATTTCTACCCCTAAAAAAGCATCAAACTCGGCGGGCTTATATAAGTATTAATCCTTAATATATATAAACTAAGAAAGAAAATTTGTCTTAGGTAAATACATTTTCTAAAATTTATAATAAAAAAAATACAAAAGAATTTCCTAGAAGGAGAAGGGAAAGGGACGTTGCGGTAACCTGGCTTCAGGTGATCCTACTAGCTTGTTCTCGAAGGCGTGAGGCAAGCGACGCGAATTTTTCAGTTACTAATCTACACCTTCCGCTTGCTGCGCTCTCTTTAGCCGCCAGTTGAATGTGGCCTCGGGTGCAAGTAGAGGTTTATAAGGCTACCATTGACTGGGACTTAGAGCCCCCTGAACTCATAGAGGGGGAACTGGTCGAGCTCATGATCCCCGGACGCAGCATTCGACACGSTGACGGCCAGTTTGCGTGGAGGTCCATAATCCTGTCCGACGACGTGTGGCTTTAGACGTACAGAGAGCACCGGCCGGGGCAAGGAGTGGGCGTAGTGAGAGCTTACTTGTATTTGGGACCGGGTGCGGTCAAGGAGGCCGTGATGGGCCTCGCGACGACAGGGACTAGTGACGCAGTTAGCAGGGCGCTACGCTACCTAGGGGAAGAGGTAGCTGCTTTCCGAGCGGAGGACGCGAGCGACCCGTTGACCCTATTTCATGGACGCCCCCCTCTTGATATCACGGGCGAGCTGGTGGTAGCACGGGACGRCTTTTTCCCGYACAGCGTTAGGAGCCTGCGGGCGATAGTTCCGACGTTCGTAGTAGAGAGTGTCTTTGGAGGTATTGGTGGAGTGGTCGAGACAAACCTGGCCTATCAGAATCTCAAGATCCTGGCGAGAAGGTCTGCTGACCTAGACTACATCTATTATTCGCTTGCGACCGGTGGGCCTCGTTGGGGAGACGACAGGGTTCAGCTTATAGAGCTGATCCGCTCGATAGACAACGAGTGGCCCCAGCCTTCGTGCGTTTGGGATTGGTTAGACCGTGAGCTCCGAGCAGGCCTCGAGTACGTGACTTGCATCGGGCGGCTCTTCTCAGACGACTGGGGGAGCTGGTGGAGTGAGGACGCCGGGCGACCTCTGATATACGGGCATCAGTTGACGGAATACTACCAGGCCATAGGACAGGCGCCATACCGCGTCGAGGACGAGTTTGACGACGAGGGTTGGGAGCGAGAGGACGACGAGGAGCTGTGGGAGCCAGACTGGGTCGACCCAGAGAGTGAGGTTGACGAGGAGGAGATTGATGTTATAGACGCCCATTTTCCCAGGATAGGAGTAGCGGTCCGGGCGTAGGAGGTAGAGGAGCGCACCAGGGCGATGGATGAGTGGGCCTGGCTACTAAACCTATTTGACCATACTGGACCTGAGTGCGAGAGTTGTCAGAAGGGTTTGCAACGTCGAGAGATGGGGTGCACCGGAGGGAGTAGAGTGATGCTGACCAAGAGTAGGAGAAGAAATGAGGAGTGATTCAGCGGCCTGGTTAGCTTATGTTCTCTCACGAGAGTCCGAATCGTATAGTGTGAGGAAGCTTGTGGAGCCCAGAGAGACGGCGGTTGGATACGACATACCACTTCCTGTGGCGCTAGAAGAGGCAGGGTGAGTACCGATACGATACTTGGGAACGTGGCTCGCAGAGGGGCTCTTCCTATGGACAGTGATACTACGAGACGAACGACCCGAGAGGACTCATGATCTAGAAGGGGTCGGACATCTGATAGCGGATAGAGCACACGATTTAGAGATACGACTAACGCTCGCAGGGGCGAGCAGGAGTTGGTGGAGAAGTGAGTCGTTGGCCAGAGTGATCATTAATCAGCAACTGGCGAGACTCTCTGGAGGGAGGACGAGTAGGAGCTGCTTGGTATACGGTCCACCACATCCGACCCTCTAGAAAGGATTGGCGAATTGGTGTTCCTACCTTCGTGATAGGGCAAACCTATGGCAGCGTGGATCGTTTGAGGAGAGCAGTGGATCACACACTTTACGCGCTCTGGGAGGGTTTAGCGCCCCGCTTCAAGGAAGTATAGTACGCCATTTGTGTGAGGTGGGGGCCGCCCAGTAGAGAAACCCTTCACGACATCATAAATGTTACGAGCTCGGTGCACTGTCTGAGGCCTATCGATTTGATTAGGTACTGCAGGAGACGGGCGAAGATCGATTACGCGGGGTTAGAGGACGCGAGATTTCTCTTCGAGGTCGCAGCTTAGGGAATGCCGGGAAGGACGGCCACGGTGATACGTGTAGGAGAACAACTGGTGAGCACAGGATACACTGTGACAGTACTTCTCCGAGCGTATGTAGACGAGGACTTGACCGCAAGTGCGTGCAGACAACGAGCTAGGGATTTGATCCACGAGCGTAGAGCCGATGTACTGGCGCGAGTGACCTTCCAGACCTCGATTTCCTATGATGTGATGATATGGTCTCATGGTTATATGCGCGCGGAGCACTACCACGATGAGACGGTAG